CCCTGAGCAGCCCCAGCCGGCGGCACCGTCGACAGCGACGGTGAAGGGTGGTGTTTGGGGTCGGACAAAGACGGTATTTATCCCGCTCCCCCAATTTACAGCGTAAAACCAGCCCGGAGAGGAGGTCCAGGCAGGTTCTCCACTAGTCACAGGGCTGCAGCGTCCAGGGATTTGCTCCTGGTTTACATCCACGCAGGTGGGAGCAGAGGCCAGAAAGGCATCGGCTCACCGGCTCGGAGCCCAGCTAGGCAGGCACAGTCACCCCCGTGCATCTCCTGCTATCACTCTGGGGCCCGAAAACGGAGGCAGAGAGTGTAAAGATTGGCTGATAGGAAGAGAGAGAGAGAACAACAGAATCACAGACTCACAGAATGGCAGGGGTTGGCAGGGCCCTCTGTGGGTCCCCCAGCCCAACCCCCTGCCCAAGCAGGGTCACCCAGAGCAGGCGGCACAGCACCGCGGCCAGGCGGGGCTGGAATATCTCCAGAGAAGGAGACTCCACAGCCTCCCTGGGCAGCCTGGGCCAGGGCTCCGTCACCCTCAGAGGGAAGAAGTTCTTCCTCGGGTTCAGCTGGAGCTTCCTCTGCTTCAGTTTGTGCCCGTTGCCCCTTGTCCTGTCGCTGGGCACCACTGCAAAGAGCTGCTTGTCTAATCCATGCTACTCATTTTGTTTTAAAACGAGGTGTAGCTTTTAAAATCAGTCATTAACATCACTATTAATAATAACAATAGCAAATATTAATAATAAATACATGAACAAGTAACAACAGACTTGTTTTATTCTGACTCACTAGCTCGCTCTGACACAGAGAATGTACTGGCACGTTTTCTCCCTTTAACTGCACCAAACGAGGTCGGCAGCCGGCCCGGGGGTCCGGGCGCACCGCGTGCCGGGCGGTGATGGCACCCAGCAGCACCCCGGCTGTGTCTGTGTCTGCCTGGGTGAAACCACCCTGCCCTCGGAGAGCTCAGCCTCCAGCAGTCCCTGCCCTTCGCTTTCATTTTCCAGGAGCGCCAAGATGAAAGCAACCCCGAAATTCAAAGCAGAATACAGCTAACCTGCTTCATTTTTTTTTTCCCATGCACATGACTGCATAAAGGGGCTCAGGATTGCGGGTTTGCGGGAGACGTCCCCCAGTTTTGCCCGAGAACAGCGAGCGGCTGAAGCACGGGAGCCAGGTTTCGGGGACCTTTAACTGGGAGCCCCGCGCTGAGTCTGAACTGGGAAGGGTGGAAGCGCTGCCAGTGTTGGCTGGAGACTGTGTAACCACGCCGTACGAGCGTATTTCCATACATTCATCTCACTAAATATGAAAAACTGCAATAAGAAGGTTTAAAAGTCATCTCCAGTTCCTACAATGACTGAGCTCTGTTTTAAACTACTAAAGGCTGCAGACATGATTTTCCTTTACATTTTAAACAAGCAGAGTAATTAGATCTTTATCACTCTACCAAAAGAAGAAAAAAAATATTCCTCAGTGCCTGGTGTATCAACTCCTTAAATTTCAGAATGCCTTTAATGATCTGAGAGAGTCCTGTCAGCTGTAACAAGTGGGAGCAACTGTCCTTAAACTATATATAAAAGATGACCACAAAGCCAGAAATCAGCATTTCCAGCAGCCTGGGGAGCAAGAACCGGGGAGCAAGGACACTGCGTGGCAGCAGGACCCCGGAGCAGGCTGGGTCCCTCTCCCTGGGCACGGAGCCTGGTCCCCAGCCCTGCCTGGAGCCCTCCTGGGCTGAGTTGCTCCCCTCTACACCTCTCGCTGCCCCTCGCCCGAGCCCCGCGCCGCAGAGCGATGCGGG